CGTACGTACGTACGTTACGTACGTACGTCGTACGTACGTACGTTACGTACGTACGTACTACGTTACTACGTCGTACTACGTACGTACGTACTTCTCTCTCTCTCTCTCTCTCTCTCTCTCTCTCTCTCTCTCTCTCTCTCTCTCTCTCTCTCTCTCTCTCTCTCTCTCTCTCTCTCTCTCTCTCTCTCGTATCATTTCTGTACTATTGTATACTGGAAATGTGAGCAAAAGGTATGTCACTTGCTGTACTATTGTATACTGGAAATGTGAACAAAAGGTATTTCACTTGCTGCCTTTTAATTAGTGAAATTGAGAGTAATGTGTGTGATGAGTTGGCCCTGGACAATTTCATTCATGACTTCATGCTACATCACACCAATTTTAATTATTCGCATTATTTAGAGCTTAAAATATGAGCATAAACAAAAGTCCTGTTAATTAGTGAAATTGAGAGTAATGTGTGTGATGAGTTTGCCCTGGACAATTTCATTCATGACTTCATGCTATATCAAACCAATTTTAATTATTCCAATTATTTAGACCTTAAAATATGAGCATAAACAAAAGTCATACATTTAAAGTTGTTATTCCTAATGGGGTTGGGGAAAGCCTCTCACCTGTAATGCTGTTGAGTTTTTCCATGGTATGGCTAGATGCAAGATGCTGAAATTAGTGGTAGCAGTTGTAGGTTGGCCAATTATATTAACTATTAATTGCACTAAATGGAATAGCAGGATCATGAGACTTGTGGATTCCCTGGGAATCAGGAATGTTGCACTGAAGTGGTGTAAGGACCAATCCAAGACGTGATCTTTCTACAAAAGCATTAGAGATGGATTGGATGGTTCTGGGAAAGTGGATGGAGGGATATAACCCATTTGGTCTTAACAAATAACAAGAGTAACACTTGCTGTAGAAAAGGACAAAAAGTTCTCTTTGGTATCAGATGCTTGGACTATGTAAGATTGGTGCTCGTCAGTGGGGAGCTAGAAGCACTGCAATACATTAAAAGTTCACATAAGTGCTCATAAGCAAAGCACAATAAAGGGCAAAACTGCATGAGACTCGTTAACCAGGAAGCTTTAACGGTCAGCCATGTGACATACAGCGGAAGGAAAAGGGCAATGTCCTGCCTCACACATAAATTACATGGTTAGCATGAGCATCCAAGATTTAGACACCCACAAAACTGTTTTCAAGGGAATATTGTCATTTTATCCTGTATGCTAGTGTCAATTATTCTGTATTCTTAGTACATATCCTTATATTAGTAACATTGTACTAGCATTAGTAAATTACAATCACACTCTGTTGTATATGTATCTCATAAGAGGGCTTTGAGAACACATTTGGATATATTCACTCTAGTTTGAGAGGGTGTTTTGAATTCACTTCTCAATGTAGTGCTCTTAGAAGAAGAAGATGACAAAAAATCATCTTTGCAATTTTTTGCCGCAAGACGCTTCATATATTATTTGTACAGGAAATCTTATACGACAGCTATGACTAAAACAATGTTACACAGACACTTTACTTTTAACTTTTTAGCTTTTGTCCACACATGTTGACACTTTGACATGAATCGAAATGATCCCACAAGTGGTCAGTATGTGTCATCTGTGTTGGGACTCGTTAATGTGTGTACACAGTACCCACCTATTCAGACTTATCGACCACCAAGGCATGCTTATAATAAATGTCAATTCTGATTCTTGAGTCCACAACCTTTTAATTTGTTTGGATACCCTCTTATCACTTGCTATAAGTCATGATTATACATGTCTTTCCATTTTTTTTGTTATTAACAGGTATTAAAAGAAGCATTTTTTGAAAAAGGAAAAAAAATGTAAATAACAAAATATTTCCAATTTTTCTTGCATGTTTGAATTTTCTCTTTCTTTTTGTTGAAAATTTTATCTAAAATAAATTTAGTGCTTCTTAATAATGCTAATTCACAGTGGCATAGAGAATTTGGGTTAGGAATCTCTCCATATAGAATCCTAGTAATTAAGGTTTCCATACTCGGAATTTAAGCTAGTATCCCTTATAATTAGAGTTATTTAAAAAATCTAATAAGCTCTTTAGTAGCATTATATGCTTAGAGATACAGGATTTGGACATGACCAGGGCCATAAACCGCCCAACCCTAGTCAGTCAGCCAACACGAACTCCCACGAAAGTGTAAATCCATTATAATTCTTTATTTATGTACTCTCACGGGCTTTAAAGGCCACAAATCCCAACAGTTCCCACTTGGCCTTTGAAGGCCATACAATCACTCCCCCTCATTCTGTCTCTCTCAAGCCCATCTAATATACATGCTTCGAAAATACATTTGCCACATGTCTTTTTGTCAAAGCATCTGCTAGCATAGCCTCTGTGAGGAGATAAAAAACCTCAATCTCTCTTACTCAGATCTCATCGCATTGTGGTAATTGTTGGCCTTAATGTGCCTATATTTCTTGTGAATTTGTGACTCTTTGGCAACACAAATCAATGCCTGGTTGTCGCAGATGATCCACATGCACAGGCTGGATCAAATCTGAGTGGACTTAGGAACTTCTTTGACCATACTGCTCCTTTTGCTGCTAGAGAACAAACTACACATTCGGACTCCATAATCAAGAGTGTAGTGACGTCCTGTTTCCTTAAGCACCAGGAAACAACTCCACCGGCAAGTGTAAAGATTTACTCGGGTGTGAACTTCATTTCATCTGGATCGCTCTGATAGTCCGCCTCGGAATTTCGCTATATGTCCAAGCTTCCTCCATAAGTGAGTATGAGATTAATAGTTCCTTTCAAATATTGCCATGTCCAAATACCCCATGACCGATACCCGCTATTTCGACTGGTTTGAAAACCTTTTGTTTCTTTCCTACCACATAATCAAGAAAATAATGGATAGATGACCTTTTATCGCCAAACACGATGGTCTTGGCCATCTGACCCTTGTCACCTCTAATGAGGCTAATTGCAGGAGCACTTACCACGTTGAAGTCCTCTGAAGGTAAGGCGCTCTTCCGTTGTTGAGAGGGTCTTAAACAAGACGTCTGTGGTTGGCTTGGTGGTAGTTTGCAGGCAAGTGGCCATGTTACTCTTGGTCAAAGAGACAACATTGGTCGATACTGGAACACAAATTGTTCCGACCATGAAAGAAGTAGACGAGTTCATTTGCCCTCAAATCATTCAAGATGTGATTAAAGAGAAGAGAGGTGTACAAGTCCCCAATGGAGTCACCAGAGATGTTGGGTTGATTTTAAGCTGAAATGTGCGAAGAACACAAGACAAACTCAAAAGTACTTCAACAACCTCTCTGTTAGGGTATATCCACGAACAAAACTTTATTTTATTTTCGTGGATCGTGTAGTTCTAAGACATTTGTGCGCATCATGTTAATTACATTCACTGTCTCATACAATGGAGATGTGAAAACCCTTTGGTTAATCAATCACATATGGACTCGTAGAAGAGTTAGCGAGTGAGTCTTGTTGTGGAAGCTACTTGCATGAACTTGTTCCTAAATACTCATAATTGCTTGGATATGCCTACTATCTCTCTTCTTTTTCTTTGTTTTTGGCTTGAATTATTTATAATCGTCGAACACTTCGATTTGTGGCTCTCGATCGTGCCCAGCAGTTGCAATGTAGTGTGTGTAGTGGTCCTGGTGTCTTATCCTGATGATGACACGTGGTTATGCACCATTGCTTGTGGGTTTTGGAGTCTTCTTCACTTCTTGAAGGTGCAGTGCATCATCTTTATCTTAGCATGTCAATCTAGAAGGTTGTAGTGTCATTTGTCAGGGGTGACATGGATGAAAGGTTTAATTCTTCCACAAGTTTATCGTGTGTAATCTTCTGGAATGGGTTAACAAATCTTTGGACCTCTAGGGTTTAAAAGATGTGGATAACAATCCAGGGGTATTTTGTCAATAATAATCTTTGAGGGTAGATAAGGTATGTATCGGAAAGTGTGAAGCAGAATAAAACTGGTTTAGCATGCACCAAAGCATTAGCAGAACGAGGGCTTGTTTCACCAGAGAGTCTCTTAATTGGTGTAAATTCACCAGTGCGTCTCATAATAGGGTCAATCATGGTTAATGCGCATTTTGGAACTACATTCGGATTGGGGGTCATATATTAGATATCATCCCCATTGCTTTATGAATGCAGCAAAGTATTAACTCAATACTTTAGCTTAGATGTAGTATCCATTATGCGTATGAAAGTACAGAGATAAGGTTTTCTCAAAGATATATCAAGAAAAAGTTAGGGTAAGTCAAAATTATACCCCAAACACATGGTAAAACCATTAAACCATCTCATAGCATGTGCATGTATGACCGCAAATGGGAAGCCACTCATCCATGTTGATCCATCTGGGAGAGATATGCGCATGTGCCTAGAGAGGAGAGCTGCATCCATAGGAGTGCATGTCCTTGGGGATGCCCCCGTAATCCTCTACAACTCGAGAGTCCCGAGCTATTCATTAATTTGACTTTGATAAACCAATCATGAGCCCCTGATTAGTACTGAGGGTCATGAGTTTGTTGGGTCAATACAGGGAAGGTGACTTTGGATTCCAGGTATAGCTGAGTGAAGTACTCCGATACCTAATTCAACTCTATAGGATTCTAATTTTCCTTTCAAATATTTTCAAATGGTGGCAAAAATGTTTTGGTGAATTTTGGAGAATTTTTGGAGATTTTTAGAAATTTTCTAGATAAAAAATTGGATTTTTCAGAATTATTTTTGAGAAATGATAAAAAAGTACAGACCTGTTTTTTTTGGGTAAATAGAGAAGGACAAATCTGAGGGATACATGATACCCAAATGCCTAATGTGTCCACATGGGCCCATGGGGTAGTCCACGTCCGCCCCACGTAGAGGTGACGTGGGGTTGCAATCATTTCCCCTATGGGATCTATTCATTAAATGATTATTTGTTAATGAGGATTTTAGTTGTAGATTTAGTGAAATTTTGGAAATTAAAAAAATGGATTTTGGCATATGTTTTATTTGTAGATTTGAGTTATATATACATGTGTAAATGCTTCTAAAAAGGTCATAGGGTTTAATATTTCAATTGAAACCCTAAGGACATGTGTAATCGTGGATTTAACCACCTCACCTATGTGACAACATGTGATTGGTTGAACATGTTTAGAAAATTGAAAGGAAATTTAATTTATTTGTTGTAAAATGTGTCAAATTACCATAAGGGAGAGCTCCTAACTTCGGTTTTCAAGTTGATTAAGTTAATAGAGCATGGGCATTTTTACAAAAGGAAAATTTGCAGTGAATTATGTTTAAATAAAGGTTAATGGTGTTTTAATCCCATTTACACGTTAAGATGACATGATGGAGGATGAAAGGCTAGGATCAAGCCTATGTTTGTGACATGGATGATGAACTTCAATAACCAAGATTAGCAAATCTAGAATATTCTTTAAAGCATCATTACACAAACACTATATATACCCTCTCAACCTCTCATTTTAAAGGCTAGGATCAAGCCTCACTTTTTCTCTCTTTCGTTCCTTCATGCCCCATATTTCTCTCTCTCTCTCTCTCAAGTTTAATCATGTCTCTCTCCCTTTTGTCTCATAGAGAGTCACGCCACCCATAGAAAGAAAAAGGAGATGTCACTTTCAAACCCTAAATTAGGGTTTGATGTATTTTAAAGTAAGAAAGGAGAAGCCCAGCTTAGAGAGAAATCAACTCACAAATTCATCCTTAATCTGTTCCTAAAGGTTTTGTAGAAACCCTAGTTAAATTTTGAGCTCTTTAAGACCCTAGATTGAAAAGGATTTTCCTGAAAAACATCCCATCTCAAAAGTTCCAACAACAGCTAAGGGACTAAAAGTGTGTCATTGGTCAGAGAATCAGGTGTGAAGTGGATCAAGACCTTTGAGGGAAACTCCAGACACCTTCTACTAAGTCTTTCCAATGGTTTAATTATTTTTAGTTACATTTCATATTTTTTCTTTGAATTTCCAGGTGCATATATTGTACTCAAAACTATAGTGGAAGATTGTTTATTGCTCTTAGATTTTTTTTTATTTGCTTTGGCAGTGAAAATAAAGATCCTGGGTTGTATCTAGGGTTTTAATTTTGATATACAACAATATATAATGGCCTATGCAAGTGAAATTCAGGTATATTGAATAAACAAAATAAAAAATTTAATACCTCGCGTTCCACATTGCCACTCCTGTCAATTTCTTAAGTCCTCTCATATTAATTGTGCCATAAAGTGGAGATGAATAAATGCTTGAATTGCTTCCCAGTTTGATGATACAAAATCGACCTATATCTTATCCCATCATGAAGTCATCCCATGGTACATAGCTAAGACCTTGGCTGTAAACCAAAAAAAAATGAGCTCAATGTGGCTTCCCTTGGTGTATATTGTATTTTTAGTTCAAGTGTATCGTCATATTATAATGAATTTCCTTGGTGTATATTGTATTTGGATTTCGACAAGGAACCAATTTGAGTCATAATTATCCTTTTAATTGTATCTGAAGCCACATTTGTTGGCTGGAATTTTATAAGTTGATGTAATTGAAGTATTGTTCCATTGAATTGGGAAAATTTTGAATTATGTCACTTGGACTTGGTTTTATGCATTAACATATCTTGCAAGCTCCTCTGCTCTTTTCCTTGCCAGTCTTCACTTATTTGAGTAAGTGTGTATCCAAATATTCCATTAAGCATTTTGAAATCACATTGCTTTGCAGGATGTGCAAGTGATCAGGCTATACTTGAGGCAGAAAGGGAAATGGATGTTTTTACAAAGGTTAACACTAACACGTATTTTGAAAGTGCAAATTTGTAGTTATCTGCTTTCTTTGTGATGATAATGTGTATTCTCTGAGCTTTGCTTTTTTGGCATAGGCATCTTCACTAGGAAGAAAGCACAACCTTGCAACAGAATATGTCATGAGAGTGCTCGGTCTTGATGCGTGTGCTGATACCATAGTGGGTAACGACATGGTCAGAGGTATCTCCGGTGGGCAGAAGAAGAGGGTTACAACAGGTTCCCCATCATTCACCTGGATATTTCTGAGTTAATTATATTCGTTTGAATTTGTGTCACACACAATTCTCTATGTATCTGGAGAAATGTGTTTATTTCAGTCTTCAGACATTTGGTTTCTCGGAATTTCTCGTGAAATGCATTTCCCGCTACATTTGGATTGACAGATTAAGGAGTTTGAAAGCTTGATAGATTGGTAGAACTGGGAAGCACGTCCAAGAGTACACTTGTAATTGAGCCGGGGCTGACAGTGTGACCTACAGTTGGGTTTCTTTTCAACTCTTAAACCTTGGGTCAATCAACAGTGGCACCTACCCTCTCAACAGAAGGTTGGTGTGCCCCCTAACTTGGCTAGCCTAGGAGGTTTGTGCCACCCTTATGGCCTGGGGGCATACTGAGAGAGAGAGAGAGAGAGAGAGAGAGAGAGAGAGAGA